GCACTCTATTGCCTTCTTTATTGAATTTTTAAGTTGTTGATTTTTGGCACTCCAAGGTAGTCTTCTCACTTTGTTATCATATGTCGTTCACAATCACAAAAAAGTTACTACTGAGTCAAGTTGATCACTGTTATAGGATCAATTCAATACTTCACATCTTTCCTACAAAAAATCAATACTTTGCACACCCTTAGAATCATAGCGCATATAATCACATATCTCATAAAGACATATCACATCCAATCCTATCCAATAATACTTTAATAAATTACTAGAATCATCTGAGATAAATTTTGAGTATACTACAATTCTAATCTACTTATTAAGGATCTTATTTGGCTTATATGAGTTCAAGTCCTCAAATCTCATTCAACTTCACTTGTAATGTTCTTGATTAAATTGTCAAAATAACATCGTCATCAAATTTGACAACCTCCCATCAATGTCACTAGGCTTGTTATTCAGAGGTAATCCACCAATTGCCTTAAGATAAGAAATTTTTTTAGTGTCACTGATCAATTATAATAAAAAAGATGATGTAAGAACCACTGCAAGAAATCTTCTTATAGGAGCTCAATGCCACAAATGTCCAAGAAAAGTAGCATATTTTGGAAGATCTGGTCTATTATCAAAAATCAAATTCAAAGATATACCAATTTCTGAAGTAATTATTTTTGTAGACAAGCTTTCTTGAGATCCGGACTCTATGCAAATAATATTTAATATTCTATGTGAGAATATTTGTCTAGAGTTTAGAACTCAACTTTAACTAGCAATAGGAAATGCGATGCAATATTGAAGAAGTGTAAGCTTACAACGATGTCTTAGATTGCATCATCTCCATCTGTCACCTTTCATATGCTCTACTCATCTTCTAAAGCTTGACATGCATTATTGCAAGACTTAACTATGTTAAAAAAGTAAGCCTATCTGATTTCTTAACTCATAAGCTCATGACACATGATGGCTACTACTCTAAAGAAAAAGGTTCCATATTACAGAAGATCCATGAAAGTATTTTGAAGAACCTTACCAATGACAATTGTGTTCAGCTTAAATAGTTTGTCCTAGGATTAGAAAGAAATAATTGAATTTGACACCCCATGTTTGAGCTCATTTGTAGAACTATAGTACCTACAATAAGCTTAGTTGCAAAAAATACCATACTATTCTACACACACAATACAAATGAATTCCTATTCTCACCAATTCCTTTCTACAATTGTACAAAATAGGAGCCCATAGAGCAAAACACTCCAAAATGAAGGTTTTTGTAACATCCTAGCTCTTTGCAAAATATCCTATAGTTCTCATGCTCACTAGCTTCTGAGCTTCCAATGCAACCCTCTTTGCTTTTTCTTGCAATGCAGGTGCCACATTGAGATCATTTTAGCTTCAACCATCTCCAAGCTAATTGATTGAGGAGGTGACAATGTGAAGTGGAGTAATATTTAAGAAAAGGATTGCTGAAAGATGTAAAAAATTGCTTTAGTTGCTCATAATTGTGGCTTTTGCTTCTATAACAAATGTAGTATTGAAGGTCATTCGACTCTTAACATAAATCATTTTCTATATATATCATGCTTTCTCAATGTAATTAATTATAATTGATAAGTTGTTTGGCATATCCTTAAAACTGTAGAGTCTATATAAGTCCGGATGTATTAAGTCTTGGATTACATGTTGATGATACAAATGCTCTTCAAGTACATTGTTTGGTTTTGACAGTTGACCACCTCTTCATAATTTGTCTTTGGCTGCACGCTTTGGGTACCAACTGTAACATGCTCAAGAAGTTTACTTTGGACTCTAAGTATATTGAGATGAACGATGTGTTGGCGATCGGCCGAGCTTGTATACAACTACAAATGCTTTGACTATAATGCGTGAATATGTGCAATAAAGCTTTGTAAGTTGTTGGCCATAATTGTTATTTATTAGAAATTTTAGCTTTATAAAACTTTCAAAAATTTATAGACTAGCAAGTTTCCTATTTACACAGTTCATTATATAATTAATAGATTGCATCAACCATTTTTTTTTATAATTTACATAATTTTATTTTGATGAATCATGCATTGATGCTTTCTTCTAAGACTCGTTTCTCTCTGGATAATATCATTAAAAATAGAAGTTTATTCACCTATGATATTAAATCTTTCAGTTTAAAAAAATTACAAACTATAGCAAAAATACCTACTATGTATATTTTTTTTGTGAACATACCACTTCTGTATGAAAACCTAAATTTTAAAAAAGAGGTGCAGAGTGATCTATGCTCATGAACAAGGTTTATTTATGTAGTCATAATATCCTTTATTGACTCACACTTTTTCCATCTACAGAAGTCTAGTGGCTATTGGAGGAGGATGCAAAAAGTTAAGAAAAGTCATATTGAGTGATTCATGCTACGTGGGTGACTGCAGCCTAGTTGCCATTGCTGGGTGGTGTTTCCAACTTGAAGCATTGGAAATAAATCATTGTCATAACATTAGAACTAAAAGGCTTGATGTTGTGAGCCATTCTTGTTGATAAGAAAAACTTCTTTTACAACATAATAAAACATCAATATTTTATAGTTCTTCATGCCATATGTTGAGGTTTAGACTTACATCAATTTAAAGTGAAGCAATGATTATTAATCGTTGATACTCCTAGGAGATGTTTTGTAGTTGATGAAAGATCTTTTTTACTTGTTGGTCACATTTTGCGGTTGAGTAGATACTTTGGTTTGTTATTTTCTTTCTGAGGAGTTTTCTTTTTTAACTTTATGTACTTTGTTGTAGGAAACTTCAAGAGTTTGTGCTAAAGTATTGTTAAAGAATAGACAATGAAAGACTTGTGGAAGTTGGAAAAGGCTATAGTCAGCTCTAGGCCTTGCATTTGGTTGATTGTTCATTGATTGGTGATTTTTCAATCCGTAATATTGCTCTTGGTTATCACCTATTATGACGGTTATATATTTGATACTATTAAAAGGAGGATATTATTATTCTTACTTCCAACAGCTAAAAATCACAAGTTTTGAATCTGTGTGATATTATTTTATGCATTTTACTTGTATGACTTCTTTGTCCATTTACAATATCCATGTTGGTGATGAAGGTATGGGAGCATTTGGAACCCATTGAGAGAAGGTGATAAATCTTAGTCTTTGTTTCTGTAATAGGTATCTTTTAATCTATTGTAGACATTTGTGATTTTATTTGATTTGGTAAATGTGTTTATTTGTGAAGCTTTATTCCATCACAAAAGAGTTCATGTTCAATTAGTTTATTTATCTTGCTTATGTCATTGAATGCTGACTTAGTAGAATAGAGAATAATGCCTTCATTGTAATAGATCAAAGGTGTTACTAACTATGGCTGCTAAATGTGAATAGATACTATTGAGTAGATGATATGGGATTAACCAACATTGCTCAATGATGTCTTCTTTTCATACACCTTAATGTCAATGCTTGTCAAATATATTTACTACTAGACTTAAATATATCATGGCATGATAATACTTCTTGAATTTTCATCAGCTTCATTGTTACAATAGAATATACATGAACAATGTTTGACATTATTATCATCTCCATGATTTCTTGAAATGCATTTCAACTCTTGAAATGGTTCCTCTTTTGGTATAGAATGTGAGAGATATAGGCCTTGCGGCTTTGGGAATGAGTTGCCCTCTTCTTAAGGAGGTCATTCTTTCATACTACCAAAAAATAAACAATGTAGATTTAGGCCAATTGGTATAAAATTGCCAAGCTATAGAATCATGTCATATGATGTACTTTCTATGTGTAACCTCAATTAGCGTGGCCATAGTACTTGCTAACTGTAATTCACTCAAAAAGGTTGTGGTTGAGAAGTGAAAAATTACCGATCGTACTCAAAGAAGACATGCCACTATCTTAATAGAGCTTTGTATAGAGCAATGACTAATTTTCTATTTCTATTAATGGTAGAAATTACTATACTTGGGTTAAAAAAAGGCTTCACTTCTATAAGAGAAACTTCATTAATACAAGAGATATAGTGGATTTTATCAGATTCAAGTACGATATTTTTTTATAAAAAGAATATATTCTTCAATTTTGACATAGCTTGTATAAACATATTTAACAAAGTTTCACTCAACAAGAAATTTTTCTTGTTAGATTAGCGGAATATTAGAAACTTGATTCAATCACATAAGTACTTTCATTGATGAATATACTAGCTTATTCTAATGTAGCGAGTCTTCCAATTGTGTATTTTGGAAGGTACAAATAATGGGACATCTTTTTTTCATTCAACCTACAAACAAAAAGTGGTTGTTATTCAAAGAGAAATGGTAAAAGAAATGAAAATTTGATCGTATTGAGATTGCATTTTGTACTTGCATAAAGTGATTCACTAGACAAACTTTGAAACACCAAAATGCTTGTCCCTGTTCATTCTGTTCTTCCAACTTGTTATAGTATAACATGACATCTAAGTGTTGTCGACGCAATTTCAAAGTAGAAACATATACATTCATATTTCTAGTAGAAGATAATGATGGCAAAACGACACATTTATACTTTACAAATAGTTAAGCCTCGGCAATGAAAACAGGGTTCCAACTCAACATCCAACCATCCAATCAATTCACTCGAATTGTTTGGGATAAGGCGATCCAAGCTACTACTTTGTTTGTTAGTTTTTCTTTCTTTCTTTCTTTCTTTCTTTCTTCTTATGTTGTTTTCCACTTCCTCTATCACCATCTTCTATCACTTGCAGTTGGTCACCCAAGCCAATCGAATCCTTTGTTGTTTTTTTTTTAATCTTACTCCTGATACCAATGTTGAGTAGATATTGGAAGCCCTGTCTGTTGTGTGTGTATGTGGTGCTCAATGCAGTTGGGTACACCATTGTGTGTTAGTAGGCTCATTACCGTCCCTTGGATGATACAACCCATCAGTGTTCTTTTCATCCGAGCCGTCCCGGGTTTCAAGCGCGGCACAGATCCTCGACCCCCGTCGACCCCTTAATCACTTCCCTTCGCCCTCTCGCAGCGAAACCCTGTCATGTGCCCTCCCATCGCTTTGAATTGCTCGAATCTGCGCTTACATACATGACGCTTGCAAACGACGTGGCATCTCTGTGCCGCATGCAAACAACGTGAGAGCGAGGAGCCGCGGATGGCAGGTAATCCCGTGGTTTTCTCTTTTTTTTTGGTTCCGAGATTGTTATGGCTTTCTATGTTTCGAGTGTGGTGCTCGAGGCGATGCTCGGAAGCCAGACAATAGGGTTGATCGTAAGCTCATGTTTGGTGTACCCTATGCAAGCGCGTGAACAATCAAGAGGTTTTGGGTTTTTTAAGAAGATTGAATATTGTGGATACTGTAAGTTATGATGTTAATCTAGCGGAATTTCGAATCTTTTGCTATTAACTTGGGCTGTCTTGCATTCTTGCGTGATGTGTACTCAGTATTTGTTTGTCTGCTTGTTAATTTTGTGATTCCGGCTTCAGGTATGAGGATTGGCAAGAAGATGACGGCGCATTGAACAGCATATCACAATTGTATCCTGGCTAGACTTGTGCGCAATCGAATTGCGGGGTAGGAGCAGATCTGAATGATGTATAGGACGGAAGACTTCTACAACCAGGAATATGGTGAGATCATCTTCAAACTTGTTCATCTACGAAGATTCTCAGTCCATTTTGAGGATTGAGCTTTCTTTGACTCACAGTTGCAATCTCTCTGTGTCATATGTCTTGAAAGACTAAATGTGCCCTATCTGTTTGTGTCATATATCTTGAATGACTCAGTGTTCTCAACAGAAGATCTGACCTGGGGCTCTTCCACTGCAGGTAATATTGAACTTTAGTCGGAGATTACATTACACTTGCAATGCTCTTGATTGAACTATCAACAGAACATCGTACTCAGATTTGGTAACCTCCCGATGAGCTTCACCGGGGCTTGTTATCAGAGTTAATGCACCAGCTGCCTCGAGATAAGAAATTTCTCCGGTGTCACCGATCAATCACAACAAGAAGGATGACACGGGATCGACTGCAGAAATCTCTTTCGTAAGAGCAAAGTGTCACGAATATCCGAGATAAGTAGCAAAAATCAGCACTTTCACCTTTGAAGAGGAACACCTGAAGCACAACTGCGGTTGTCCGAACCAACCAACGAGTACAAGCTTCCATTCACTTGTAACACGTTCTGGAAGACCACGTCTTTCACCATCGACAACAAGTCCAGTTTGGAACGATACTTATCAGATAACGTCGTCCTGGGCAAGCATGCGATAGACAGAAGAACGAGGAAAGGCGATCCTGGATACTAGTTTTTTCTGTTTTATACTTTCTTCTCGTGTTTTTTTCGGCTTTTATCTCACCATCTTCTATTTCATGCAGTTGGTCACCGAAGCCGGGCGAATCCTTTGTTGTTTTTTATTTTATTTTAGTTTTGGTACTAATATTGAGTAGATATTGTAAGCCCTGTGTGCGTGTGTGTGTAGTGCTGAATACAGTAAGGTACACCATTGTTTGTTAGTAGGTTCATTATTGGGTCACCTCGGATTTTCTTGAACTAGTCTCTTGCATTCATTGGTGAATTTTGAATTTTGAGGTGGAAATCGTGGTGTTGGAGCCTCGCCATCTTTGCTTTCGGACGACCCCAGAATCAGTCAAATTGGAGTTAGAACGAAACTTTTTGGCAACAATTGAAGTGGTAAATTGGCCCTTCGCACCTTGGATTACCCACCCAACTTATGAGAGAAGCAATGATGAACTATGAAATATTGGATTGCTACAAATACTGGTGTTGTTAAACTTCAGCAACAAGCGAAGGATTGTTCCAGCAGTTGGTGTCGTAGTCTAAGGTGAGAAAGCGCGTTACTATCCCTTTGTTTGCATAAATTCCGTTATCCCGATTGGTTTTACCAGTTACTATACGTCACATAATCTGGTTTATTTTTAGAACTAGTTCAGTCAAGAATCTAGTCGTGATACATTTCACATTTGAGTGAACTATTGTAAATTATCTTCATTTATACTTAATTTGGATGTTTGTCTTTGGTACACCGTTGTTTGTTAGTAGGCTGATTCTCGTCCCTTGGATGATACAACCCATCAGTGTTGTGTTCATTGTGTCCAGGGTTTCAAGCAATCCTTACAGCTTCGCCCCCTGCGTCCCATTGTACACTTCCCTTCGCCCTCTCGCAGCAAAACCCTCGCTGCAGTGTGCTGTCTTCTCGCTTCGAATTGCTCGAATCTGCGCTTAAATACATGACGCCGTGACATCTATGTGCCGCATGCAAATGACGTGAGAGCGAGGAGCCGTGGATGGTAGGTAGTGATGTGGATTTGTTTTTGGTTCCAAGATTGTTGGGATGGCTTTCTGTGTGTTTCTAGTATGGTGCTCGAGGTGATGCTCGGAAGCCAGACAATAGGGTTGATCGTAAGCTCATGTTTGGTGTATCCAATGCAAGAGCGTGAACAATAAAGAGGTTTTGGGTTTTTTAAGAAGATTGAATATTGCAGATACTGTAAGTTATGATGTTAATTTAGGGGAAGTCTGATTGGCAAGAAGATGACGGTGCATTGAACAACATATCACAATTGTATCTTGGCTAGGCTTGTGTGCCATCGGATTATGAGATAGGAGTGCTTCAAAGGACGGAAGAGTTCTTCAAGTTGGAGTATGGTGAGAATAGATTCACACTTGTTTGTTTATGAAGATTTTGAGTCATTTGAGCCATTTGTTGCATAGGGCGGACTTTTCATTCATTGATTACCTAATTTGTGTCATTTGTATTTAGGAAACATAAAGGATTGGAGAAAAAAAGTTTATTAACTTAATAAGAAGATTAGGTATCATTTTAAATAGAATAATGTTATGGCATATTATATTTATAATAAAATGTCAAGAATTAGTGTTATTAGATAATTATTTAAAGATTGATGGTGTGTTGAGAAGATGATCTAGTTTAATGCTTATCAAAGATATGAATCAATTTTGTTTGTATGAAGCATGTGTAATAGTTTACATATTAATCAATTTTGTTAACATATATGTTGTCTTTGTGTGAAGGTTTTGTGGCAATCAAAGAAAATTTCAAAAATCTATGGTTGCATGAGTTAGCAAAAGAGTATATTCTAAAATCCATTGCTAGATTTATTTTGAGGTATGAATATCATTGATATTTATTTTGTTTAGATTATGAGATGTTTGGGATGAATATTCATGTATTTACATATACATATATATATATATATATATGTGGGAATATTTGTTTACATAGAATAAAAGAATATTTATTTATATAAAATAATGAGAAGTAATAAAAAGTTATAAAAAAGAATCACAAATGTAATAAGAGATTTATTTAGTCTATATAAAGTTAATTAGTATCATCTTTGTTACATTGAATTTTTTGGTGATCAAAATTTATTGAGATGTTGTAAATTGTGTACTAAGGATTTATTCATGTGATTGAAGGTGAATTATACATATTTTCCAAATATTTGCAATGGCCTATCTTGTAAAGATGGTTGTGAAGCACATCTTAGTAATGTGGAGGTTTTTATTTGGTTGTTGTACATTAGGATTTGTACTTGTTATGGAATTTTGTAACAAGTTTGTGGAAGATATTGGAGTTGTACTCAAAGCAAGAGAAGTTGATATTAGAGATGTGCTTATTCAATGCTATGATTACAATCAAGAAATGGAGGTGTTATTGAAGACAAAAGTTCTATTGAATAAAAAACAATGTGCAAATATTTGCCAACAACTTGGTCGTGTTTTTAAAGTATTTGAAGTCTTGAGAGCCTCTTCCAATGGAAGAAGTGAATATAAAATTCTATTTTTTGAATTTCAGTATATAACATTGAGGATATATAAGTTGGTAAAAGCTTGTGCACAAGAACAATGGTGTGAAGCAAGTATCCTTCAAATGGAGAACAAAGAAATGTTTAGAGAGTTGTTATGGGACTTAAAGACTTGTTATGATATGGGAATTGATCTATTATCAAAGAAGTATCCGAAAAAGATGGAGGACATTCCAATTGTATTGTTTGATGTTTCAACTTGTGAAGAAGTTAAACATGATGGTGAAGAACTTTTCAAAAGATTGGATCATAAAAGTAAAGATGTTCAATTTAAAGATTGTGAATTGGTAAACTATCTATCAACAAGGTTGACGAACTTGTGGCGTGTAGATGGTGGAGAGGTGGATTTTTTGGAAGTATCAAGTGATATCAAAAGTTTAGAGCTTGGGAGAATTATAAATAAAGGTGCTTTTGGAAAAGTTTATGAATCAAAGTGGTTTGGACTTGCAACTGCAACAAAAATAATGGATGCTGATTTGAATACTATGTTCATGAAAGAAGTGAGTATCTTGGCTATCACAAGCCATCCAAACTTGATCAAATATTATTATGCAGCCAAAAGTAATGCAAATGAGAATAGAGAGTCTTCAAAGATGAATAACTCAAAAGAAAAAGTATACTTGGTGATGGAATTGATGCAAACAAGTTTGAGCAACATATTGGAGGCAAAAAGAGCAATGCCATACTACTTTCTTATTGATATTATTTATCAAATTGCAAGAGGAATGTGTTATTTACATGACATGCAAATCGCACATCAAGATTTAAAGCCGGAGAACATACTACTTAATATTATTGATGATGATAAATCTAGTCATGGTTTTCATTATGCTGTTGTGAAGTTGATTGATTTTGGTTGTTCAAAGATCAATGTGGGTAGGAATCCAAAAGTTAAAGAAAATAAATACATATATGGGACTTTAATGTACACAGCTCCAGAGATATTGAAAAGTACAATGGAATCAATAGAGATGTGTGCTTTTGAAGCAGATGTGTATTCTTTTGCAATGACATGTTCTAAGATTCTTTCAGGTGAAGTTCCATTTGATGGTATCAACAATAAAAAAGAATTATTGAAAAAGATTGAGAAAGGTGAAAGACCAAAGTTGCCTTCAAATTGTGATGATTTGAGTAAATTGATTGAAGAATGTTGGACTTTGAATCCTTCTAGAAGACCTAGTTTTGGGGACATTTGCAAGAGACTTGAAATATTGAAAAAAAAATACTTGGTGGGAATTGATGTAGCCAAAACACCTCACTTTGGAATATTTAAGAAAGAAGATCATGAAAGTAGTAAATCAAAAGATGTTAATATTGGTGATACATTGGTAAGTTTTATATTTGAGATTTAGTGTGATATAAATGTTGCATTGGTTTGTTTGATTTCAAGATCTTCACATTTAAATATGTGTAATTTAACAAATTTATTTTGTCAAAATATGAATATGTAGTTAGATTAATTTTTAGAGACTATAGCATGAATTGTATATTTGTTAACATCTTGATTTGGTTATTTGCATAGGTACATGATTGTAAAGATAATATAATAGGTTTAGAAAAACGTTTGTCAAACATCAAAAAATTATGCAAGAGTGGAATAAATGCATTGTGTTTTATTGGTATGGGTGGAATTGGAAAGACCACACTAGTAAAGATTACATTTGATACCATGCAACACATGTACAATGTATCATGCTTTATTGAAGGTATTCAAAAGAAGGATAGTGGTCTTTCAATAATTTGCAAAGTTTTGAACCAACTAAACTTTGAAAAAAAACCAAGGAGTTTAGAAGAAGCACAAGCTATGATGAAAGAAGTATTGATGAGCAAAAAGTTCATGTTGGTCTTGGATGATGTGAAGGACAAGAGTCAAATCAATGATGTAGTTCCTACAAATATTCTATATTCTAACAAAGGTAGCATATTAATTGTGACAACTCGAAATTGGGAGGTGGTAAAAAGCTATCCTACAAAGATTCATAAATTTGATATTGGAGAACTTGACAAAGATACAAGTTTGAAGTTATTTACAGCTTATTCTTGTAGAGATGGTGATGAATTGCCTAAAGAACTTACTGAAGTTAGCAAAGAGATTGTAAGATCTTGTAATGGACTACCCTTGAGTTTAAAAGTTTTGGGATCATTTTTAGGAGGACAAAAGAGGTTGAGATGTTGGGAAAGAGCTTTGCAAAAGTTAAGAAGAGGAAGGCCTTTGGATGGAGATGAAATAGATAGTAAATATAAGCTATGGACTATTTTGAAGATAAGTTTTGATGCCATGAAAGTTGAAGAAAAGAATATGTTTTTGGACATATGTTGCTTCTTTTGTAACAATGTGAAATGGGGTTGTACAATGAAAGAGACAATAATACAAATATGGACCAATAGAAAAAGTGGAGATGAAGAGCAAGATGCAAGTATTATTTTAGACATGTTGGTTCATCAATCAATGATAAAAATAGAAAAAGATGGTGTGATAAAAGTGCATGATCAATTACAAGATATGGGACGAAAGATTGTTGAAGAAGATAAAGAATACAAAGACACACGAATTTGGAATGCAAATATGGTGCCGATGCATGGAGTAACAACAAAGGTAAGTCTCTCAAATAGTGGTAGAATAACTTGAATACAATTATTGACATAAAATAAATATTTAAAAAAAATAGAGTACAAGAAATTTGAATTTTTATTAAGAACAATATTACAGAACTTGTGTGTTGCAATATGAAATATTTAGAGATTTCTACATGATTGAAGTAGTTGATAAAGCTATGGATTGTGATTTCTAATTATTTTCTTGTCATGTTGATTAGTTGGAAGGTATAATTCTTGATTATAATATGAAAGATAACTTGAGAAGGTTTATTATGAAAGGATTACAGTTTTGTTCTTTACGAATTCTTATATGTAATATTGATGCAAAGCAAAGTGAAGATGTCTTTGAAATACTTATGTTATTGGTAGAAAATGCAAAGAAGTTAAAAGTTTTGTTACTAAGAAATAAAAATTATCACCATCTTTTTGGATTTCATAGTAGCAAAATAAAGCTGCCCTTTGCAATGTGCAATGAAGAGTTTTGGAAAGTATTTGAAGAATTGACAATATTGAGTCTAATAGGATTTACTTTTGGTGAACCACTACCTAGAACATTGTTTACAACTGGTACATTGATGAGACTTGATTTAGATGGATCTATTGAATTCAATATTGTACAAGAAGGCTTTAAAAACCTTACAAATTTAACAAACATAAGATTACTTAATAACAAAACTTTAAATGTAATGTCAAAAGAATGGACAAACATAACTTCTCTAAAAACACTTGATATGAGTGGATGCTCAAGCTTGACAAGCTTGCCAAATGAACTAGCAAATCTTTTTTCTTTGGAAGAACTTTATTTAAATGGTTGCTCAAGTTTGATAAATTTACCAAATGAATTGGTAAATCTCTCTTATTTAAGAAAGCTTGATTTAAGTTATTGCTCAAGCTTAACAATCTTGCCAAATAAATTGGCTAATATTTCTTCTTTACAAAGCCTTTATTTGAATAGTTGCTCAAGGTTGATAAGCTTGCCAAATGAATTGACAAATCTTTATACTTTAGAAGCACTTCATTTGAGTGATTGCTTAAGCTTGACACACTTGCCAAATGAATGCACAAACCTTTCTTCTTTGAAAGAACTTGTTTTGAGTGGTTGCTCAAGCTTAATAAGCTTTCCAAATGAATTGGCAAATCTTTCTTTTTTGACAAGACTTAATTTGAGTGGTTGCTCAAGCTTGAAAAGCTTGCCAAATGAATTGGCAAATCTTTCTTCTTTGAAAGCATTTTATTTGAGTGGCTGCTCAAGCTTGACAAGTTTACCAAATGAATTGGCAAATCTTTCTTCTTTGATAATACTTGATTTGAGTGGTTGCTCAACCTTGACAAGCTTGCCAAATAAATTGAAAAATCTTTTTTCTTTGACAAGACTTGATTTGAGTGGTTGCTCAAGTTTGGCAAGCTTGCCAAATGAATTGGCAAATCTTTCTTCTTTGACATCACTTAATTTGAGTCATTGCTCAAGATTGACAAGCTTACCAAATGAATTGGCAAATCTTTCTTCTTTGACAATACTTAATTTGAGTTGTTGCTCAAGCTTGACAAGCTTGCCAAATGAATTTGCAAATCTTTCTTCTTTGACCATACTTGATTTGAGTGGTTGCTCAAGCTTGACAAGCTTGCCAAATGAATTGGTAAAACTTTCTTTTCTGAAAGTACTTTATTCGAGTGGTTGGTCAAGCTTGATAAGTTTGCCACATAAATTGGCAAATCTTTCTTCTTTGGAAGATGTTGTTTTGAGTGGTTGCTCAAGCTTGAAAAGCTTGCCAAATGAAATGGCAAATCTTTCTTCTTTAGAAGGACTTGATTTGAGTAATTGGTCAAGCTTGATAAGTTTGTCAAATGAATTAGCAAATCTTTCTTCTCTAACAATACTTGATTCGAGTGGTTGCTCAAGATTGACTTACTTGCCAAATAAATTGGCAAATCTTTCTTCTTTGACAAGACTTGATTTGAGTGGTTGCTCAAGCTTGACTAGTTTGCCAAATGAATTAGCAAATCTTTCTTCTTTGACAAGACTTAATTTGAGTAGTTGCTCAAGCTTGACAAGCTTGCCAAATGAATTGGCAAATCTTTCTTCTTTAGAAGAACTTATTATGAGTGGTTTCTCAAGCTTGACAAGCTTGCCAAATGAATTGGTAAATCTTTCTTCTTTGGAAGAACTTGTTTTGAGTGATTGCTTAAGCTTGACAAGCTTGCCAAATGAATTGGCAAATCTTTCTTCTTTGACAATACTGGATTTGAGTGGTTGCTCAAGCTTAACAAGCTTGCCAAATGAATTGGCAAATCTTTCTTCTTTGACAATACTGGATTTGAGTGGTTGCTCAAGCTTAACAAGCTTGTCAAATGAATTGGCAAATCTTTCTTCTTTGACAACACTTGATTTGAGTGGTTGCTCAAGCTTGATAAGCTTGCCAAATGAATTGACAAATCTTTCTTTTTTAGAAGAACTTGTTTTGAGTGGATGCTCAAGCTTGACAAGCTTGCCAAATGAATTGGTAAATCTTTCTTCTTTAAAAATGCTTGATTTAAACGGTTGCTCAAACTTGATAAGCTTACCAAATGAATTGGCAAATCTTTCTTTTTTGACAATACTTGATTTGAGTGGTTGCTTTAGCTTGATAAGCTTGCCAAATGAGTTGGCAAATCTATCTTCTTTGGAAGTTCTTGTTTTGAGTGGTTGCTCAAGCTTGACAAGCTTGCCAAATGAATTAGCAAATCTTTCTTCTTTGAAAGCACTTTATTTGATTGGTTGCTCAAGCTTGACAAGCTTGCCAAATGAATTAGCAAATCTTTCTTCTTTGGAAGAACTTGTTTTGAGTGGTTGTTCAAGCTTGACAAGCTTGTCAAATGAATTGGCAAATCTTTCTTCTTTGAGAAGACTTAATTTGAGTGGTTGCTTTAGCTTGATAAGCTTGCCAAATGAGTTGGCAAATCTATATTCTTTGAAATTTCTTGTTTTGAGTGGTTGTTCAAGCTTGACAAGCTTGCCAAATGAATTGGTAAATCTTTCTTCTTTGGAGGAACTTATTATGAGTGGTTTCTCAAGCTTGACAACCTTGCCAAATGAATTGACAAATCTTTCTTCTTTGGAAGAACTTGTTTTGAGTGGTTGCTCAAGCTTGATAAGCTTGCCAAATGAATTGACAAATCTTTCTTCTTTGAAAATGCTTGATTTAAATGGTTGCTCAAGCTTGATAAGCTTACCAAATGAATTGACAAATCTTTCTTCTTTGACAAGACTTGATTTGAATGGTTGCTCAAGCTTAAAAAGCTTGCCAAATGAATTGGCAAATCTTTCTTATTTGACAAGACTTAATTTGAGTGGATGCTCATGCTTGACAAGCTTGCCAAATGAATTGGCAAATCTTTCTTTTTTGACAAGACTTGATTTGAGTGGTTGCTCAAGCTTGACAAGCTTACCAAATGAATTGACAAATCTTTCTTTTTTGACAACACTTGATTTGAGTGGTTGTTCAAGCTTGACAAGCTTGCCAAATGAATTGGCAAATCTTTCTTCTTTGAAAATGCTTGATTTAAACGGTTGCTCAAGCTTGATAATCTTACCAAATGAATTGGCAAATCTTTCTTTTTTGACAAGACTTAATTTGAGTGGTTGCTTAAGCTTGATAAGCTTGCCAAATGAATTGGCAAATCTTTCTTCTTTGACAAGACTTAGTTAGAGTGGTTGCTTAAGCTTGTCAATCTTGCCAAATGAATTAGCAATTCTTTCTTCTTTGAGAATATTTTATTTGATTTGTTGCTTAAGCTTGACATACTTGCCAAATGAATTATCAAATCTTACTTTTTTAAGAAGTGTAAATTTAAGTTGTTGCTCAAGCTTGATAAGATTGTTTGATGAATTGGAAAATCTTTTTTCTTTGGAAGAACTTTATTTAAAAGATTGCTCAAGCTTGATAAGCTTACCAAATGAGTTAACAAATCTCTTTTCTTTGACAATAGTTAATTTAAGTAGTTGCTCAAGCTTTCAAAGCTTGCCAAATGAATTGGCAATTCTTTCTTTGAGTGGTTGCTCAAGTTTTTTAAGCTTGCCAAATGAATTGGAAACTCCTTTGACTTTGACAATGATTGAATTAAGTGTCATCTAGAATGGCATGGTGGTTAAAAACCTTTTCAAGGTTTATAATTTGGTATTTTTATAATTTTTGAATAAAGAGATTGCTTAAGCTTGATAAGCTTAGCAAATCCTTTTTTTTTGCAATACCTTCTTTAAGAATTTTCTCTAATTTCATAGGCTTGTCAAATAACTTGGCAAATCTTTCTTGTTTAACAACAATTTATTTGAAGGATTGATCAAAATTGACATGCTTGTGAAATGAATTGGAAAATATATCTTTTTTGAGAGGATTTAATCAATGACTTTTTAAAACTATTTGATATAGATATTATTTAGAATATTTTTAGAAAGTATTAGTTTCTAAAATATTATGGTTTTTTTAATACTTATTTTATAGTTTTATTAAATATATTTGTCTTAAAAAAAATTATAAATAGTATTATATTGAGATTTAATCATATTAAAAAGATATAGTTTCAGACTTGATCTTTGTGTTAAATAAATCAGACGTAATTTATTTTATATCATGAAATATTATTATAATTTTCATTTTTCACATGGTTTTTAAATAATTATTTTTTTTATTTAATTCTTAGAACTATAATAATATTAATAATAATTTGTGTTACTTAAGTGTAATATTTTCAATAACAAATTGTTGAAAGTATTAAAAACTAGCCCTTGAGAGTGTCCACATAGTAATAAGAGTGTATTTTTAATAAATCTCTTTAATTAGATTAAATATTATATTTTTTACATAAAATTATTGTAAATAGTTTAGAAGTTATTTATCTATTTATTTATTTACTTCAATGCCATGTCATAGTAAAATTATCAAAAAAATTTAATTTTCTTAAATCTATTTTGTTATTATATGACTTAAGTATTATTATGTTTCTAAATTAATTTTAAATTGATTCTTATTTTAAAGAAGGAAGAAATATTTTATTTAAAAGTTAAAAATTCTTTAAAAGATATATTCTTAAACTTAATTCATAATTTTAGATTAGTTGATTATTATAATGATGTCAAAAAAATCATAATTTTATTTCTTAAAAATAGTTATGACTTTCAAATAGTTTAAATATAGCATTATTATTAGGTTATTACATGATTTTTGATTTTCTTAAGTAGAAACTAATATTTTTAGCTTAATAATGTTTTCCAAAAAAAATATAAAAAATTAAAAATATTTAAATTTCAACTTTTTTATAATTTTAGAAATTTTATATAATATTTATTCTATAAAATACCTCCTTTAATAAAATTTATATTACATTAACTTTTAAACTTAATATTGCTGCAAAAAAATCTAAATTCACCAAGTACTTATTTCTTTGTTTATTTGTTTCATTGTATGAGTTCTTTTTTTGCAATATAATGGTCCTTAAATAACTTTAATAACTCTAATCATCATTACCAAATCAGAGAGTGTTATCTTTTATGACTCTAATCAACAAAGTACGATTTTATTTCATTTAAAGAAAGAAACCAAGTAGCCATGAAAATGCATGATTTGATACAAATGTAATGATAGAAGACCTTAGTAGTGTGGATATATGTGGATAAGTAGACATGTGGATGTGTGTAGGTACTTTGAATAAATAAATATTAATCTTCTTTTTTATCTTATTCTATAAAATCAAATATTTTCTTTAGACTTGAAAAAATCTTAAAGTAATAAATATATTTTGACTTAGGCTATGACATGTGTTTCTTTTAATAATTAATTTAATACATATTTTATTAATATGAATATAATAAAACATATTAATCTAAAATATGAAAACATAAAATTTTGGAATATATTGTTATACATAAAATTATTAATGAGTTTGTTGATTTTTTTAACATTTAAAGTATATATTTTTTTTCTAAGATCAAAAACATACCTTTTAGAATATACTAGAAACTAATACTTTATACAAAGTCTTCTATTAGTCTGTAAATATGTAATACAACCAATTGTAGCAAAATTTGATAACCATGGAATACATCATGCTTCTCCATTACATAAGTTGCAAGGCTTCTATGTACTACAGTGGTCTTCTCTTCATTGTGCTTCCTAGCTCATTTTAAATCAAGCAAAAGTTCTTTTTCTTCCTCCTTAGCCAATCTCTATTTATGCTTCTTCAATTCCTCTAATCTCTTCAACTAAATATAATCATGCTTCAAGATC